CGCCAGGGCTGAGGAATCGTCCAAGAGGCGTACTATTCTGGCAAGGGTTGAATTCTGGCTCGGGTAAATGGGCAAACCGCCCCGGAACACCTCCAAAACCACCAAACAACATCACTGGCGCCACCAACTAGAGGGAATCTGAGCTTTGTGGCACTAGGGGTCTGATACTCTACTGTACCCGGAAAATGCCCGTGCATCCGATGTTGCCAATATTGGGAGCGGTGGTGTCCCAGTGTTGTCTCCTGGTGGTGTCCCAGTGGTGTCCTGGTTGTGAACAAGGGCATGAAGACAGGATGGGATCGAGCGGCATCGGAAGCCGCAAGTACGCAAGTCGCGTTAACTTTTGGTGGCATGCATGTGCGTGCGTGCGTGCGTGCGTGCGTGCGTGCGTGCGTGCGTGCGTGCGTGCGTGCGTGCGTGCGTGCGTGCGTGTGTGTGTGTGTGTGTGTGTGTGTGTGTGTGTGTGTGTGTGTGTGTGTGTGTGTGTGTGTGTGTGTGTGTGTGCGCGCCAGAATGCCAAAAAAGTTCGTTGTGCGCGTGTGCAACGAAAAAAACGGAATCCAATTTTTGACACACACCGACACTTTTGGATCAACAAAGGATGCAATCAGCCCTGGGAAACCGGATGAACCTGGGCTTGTCCCCAATGCTGATCAACATACGTAGACCTTTGATTGATGCATCGGTTTGTTTTCTGTGTGAGGGGGACCAGGAGGCAAAGAGAGGGAGAGAGAGAGAGAGAGAAAGAGAAAGTAGGGCGCTGAACAGGAACCCTTGTTTTACGGTTTGATGCTTTCAAAGTTTTTCGTGAAGTCGAGCTGCATGGGATGCAAAGTGTTCTTCCGTCAAGATTCGGCACGTGGAACGCTTGGCTTTTCTCGGGGCCGAGGGTAGGTTGAGAAGCACATGCTTCAACAATCAGATCCCCCCCCCCGCCCCCCTGCCCTGCCCCGCTCCCCTGCCCCGCCCCCCTGCCCCGCCCCCCTGCCCCGCCCCCCTGCCCCGCCCCCCTGCCCCCCCCCCCCTGCCCCGCCCCCCTGCCCCGCCCCCCCTTCCGCCCCCCTTGAAAGGCAACAAGGTGTTGTTTCCTGGCCTCGCATCCGAGACTCTTCAGAACCACGTGCCCGCCTTGATCGACCTGGCGTGCGACGAGGGCCCGCAGCAGCCCTTCAGGAATCTGCAGAAGCTTGCTGCAAGAAGCGACCTTCGCGGAATCCCAAAAAGGTTGCCCACAACCCCAAAAAGAGTCAACCTGAAACCTGTTGCCGTTTGGGCTCCCCGAGGCCCGTCTGACCCAAAACGTCCCTCAAATAGATTGAATCACAAACCATGCTTCTTACTTACGGGTGCCCTGGCTTGGACCCTGCCGCTGCCAATTCCCGAGGTCGAATGGTGAAACCAGTGTGCGTCGCTGCCTTTTCCAAATTGTCGCTTGTAGAGGAATCGGGCCCCTTTTGGGTTCCGGGCAAAAGTAGACAGCCACACCGGACGACCGATTCGTTCGCACCACCTCGCATGGCTGTTGACGGTCTCAGGATCTTGGCGACGCAGGTTCTAGTTCAGCTGTGCTTTGGGGCAGCTTCTCGCAGACGGGTGGGCAATAGCCTGCGCATGGACAAGGCCGAAGGGTGATGCACGGGGCACAGGGCCGAATGGCAACCGCGATGAATTAAATCCCGGGCTACTTCCAATTGGGTGTGTCCCATTGTAAAGGGAAGGGGCGGACACGCCCTCTAGTAATCAAGCAGTTGATTTATCCGCGTAGAGCAGGAGGAATTCAGGTGACCACACAGATCCAGGTGAACTGGCCTAAGGGAATTGTGCCATCTACTTTCACCCTGGTGTAAGTGAAGGAAAAGCAAAAACGGCAGCGGGCGAGACTTTGGTCTGGCCATGAAAATGCGTGGTTCCTTAAGGCAAGAATTTGTGAAAGGACACGAGGGACCGACCCTTTGAGTGAAGTCTAGCAATTGGCCATCGTATCTGTAGATCGCACGTTGGTCTCGAAACAAAGGGGCGGGAAGGCACAGCAGAACCTTCAAATCAAGATTCTAACCAAAACGAGCCTGAAAAAAGCCATGGCAAACTTTGATGGATGCACTTTGGGCAAGCGGATGTTTTGCAAAGGGGCGCCGTTGGCACGCGAAAAGGGTTTAACCAAATGAGGTTCGGCAAAAATAGTGGTCAAGCTTGGAGGGACACGGAGCGTCGCGGCTTGGCATGGTGGAACTGCCATCCACTTCATATGATCCCAAAAGGATAGAGCGTCTGATCAGGCGGCCAGTCAGCCAGGGCCTGTTTCTGAAAGCATGTCGAAGCCAACCTGCGGGGGTTAAAGGTCGGGCCGAGGTTGGGAACCGGCAAAGTGTAAAGTCCCTCCGCGTGCACATAACTTTAGATAGCTGAAAAGCATGTTCCCCTTGCCTTGTCAGAAGTTGTCCTTCTAGTCACGAGACATGGGCGTGTACTTTCAGGTTAGCCGCTTTCCCAATTGTATGAAACAGACCCCACCACCCAACTCTAAGGTGTTCCAGGGTTACAAAAGCTGACAACACAGAGGAGAGGATTTGGACTGAAACAGCTTTTCGGTTGGCTGGGTTCCCAAAAGGGCAAACTGGCCACAGAAGGGTAGCAGATGGGCTTGAAGCTCTTGGTGTCCTTTGGTTTCCTTTAGAAAACCGAGTTGGAGCCCTCGACTCCCGGAGTTCCTGGACTCCCGCTGGGTTTGGCGAAGTCGTTTACTTTGAGGGCGGGACCCCAAATCGAGCCATCCAACTCGTGGTTTTCTCAAAGGGGCGCCTTGCGGTTCATGCCAAAGCCCTTGATTCCCCCATTCCCCACGCGTAGGTACTTGGAGTTTTGAGTGCCACTTCATTGAAGTGCGCCGTTCGAATTTCCTTTCTCGAAAGGTGAAGGCCATGCTGACAGTGGCCTTCTTCCCGGCACCGGAGGGCAGCGGCCTGGTGCCGCACCACGTCTTCGTGGCGCCCCGGCGAGGTGATCCCGGTGTTAGCATGGAGGCCATTGAGGACCATAGGCCGTGCATGTAGGGCTGCTTGCCACCTGTTTTGCTCCGAGCGTACCGGTTTGTCCCAAACTTTGACTTTTTGGCTTCCCTTTTCGGGTGCCCCTGGGTCCACTTGACCCAAACGGCGGAACAAAGGTCTCGATGTCAGCATATCGACTGGTGGACCATATAATTTGTCAAGAGATGCCTACCGGAACAATCCTCAGTCATATGCTGTGTCTATAGGTGAGTCTTTGTGAGCGGCATGTCTTTTCTTCGTGCATTCCAGAATTACCCGCGACGGACAGTGGGAAGAAGGGAATGGGCTCGTTCTTCATCGCAGTGGGGAAATGGGTGAGCAAGAGACGATTCCTTCCTCCGCGTTTAGGGCCTGCCTCCAAAAGGCACGGAAAGCGATTTGGCCAATCAAAGGTGATTTGAAAGGAAAAGCCAAGAAGAATTCAAAGGGACCCAAAGCAAGCCAAGCCTTTTTTTTTAATTAAGAAATTGCTTTGAGCCTGGGGATCACACGCAAGTTGGGATTTATGTTGCCCCTTTTCGAGGGGTTCCCAATCTTGGCAAGGCCCCAACACGCAAAGCCACATGCGGTTTGTAGCGTTTTTGTTTCTTTCTTTTCTTTTTCTTGTTTATTTACGAATCGATCTTGCCACTTTGTCCACCATTCTTTGAGCAATAGCTCAAACTTGCGGTACTTAAAGGGAATCCGAAGGAAGCCACAGCGAATTTTAGGAGACTTTTGCCCTATTTTGTGGAGGCCCCAGATGTGAGAAGTGCAGGCTATTGATTGAATCCAGGGGACAACTTAGGTTTTGGTGGTTTGATCTATCCCGGTAGGACAAACCGAGGCAAGCGATATCAAAACTGTATGTAGTCTTTCTAAAAGAACAAGCCAACCGTCAGTTAGCTTTTCGGTGGTTGAGTTGATGGTTTGAATCTGTAGTTTGGGAAGAGGAAACCCTAAGTTCCAAACCGACAAAGACATATAGAGGGATGCTGAAACAGGGGCAACTTCAGGCTTCAGCCACCCACCGCGACCTTCTGCACCTCGTTTCTATGGAGGTGCTATGGCCCAAACAAGCGCAAACAGTCAAGTCAGGTGTGCTTGCTGCTCGCCAGCCTTTGCGACCTTGCTGTGCCGGAAGAGGCGAGGAGCAGAAAGCTTCTAAGGGAGGGAAGCTGGGTTTTGCCGGTCCTTTGGATCAATAACAAATCCGGAAAATTACTCAGGCTTCCCCACAAAAGAAACGTCGATAAGGCCTGCGGGCCCACGCGGATACGCCGTGACAGATATGGTCATGACAGATTGATGGCGGGCGGATGCTGCGGGGGAGGGGTGGGGCTTTCCATCCACAGGCTATGGACTTTCGATGCATCCCGAACGCCATGGCGTGTCCTGCTTGCTCAATTATCCACCGCTCCTTGCCAGGAGGTGAGGATGATTTGGGGTAGAGCCAGGGTAGTTGCTCGCATGTACTGCTAACTGAACTGGATGCAAACGATGAATCGACGACATGCAACATTTCTAAATGAACGAGCCTAAGCAGCGAAGTAACAAACACACACGCACACATCCCTGTCTCTCTCTCTCTCTCGCTTCCTCTCTCTCTCTCTCTGTCTCTCTTTCTCTCTCCCTCCCCTTTGCATATGTGTACACGCATTTGCTAGCATCATAAGAGGCTTCACCTCGAGACACTCACATACCTTTGCAACCAGCCTGACTCCCCCACCTGGCGGGTTCGGATTTTACAGTGGAATTGAAACCGGAGTCAAGGGCGCCCTTTCTCACTGCCCCAGCTGATTGTTTATGCTTAAAGTTTGAAGGGCGAAAAGCCGCAGCATACATCCACATCTATCATCTGAGGCTTTGTTATTGTCCCATTTTTTTTTGGATTGCTTGAGACTCAAATGAAAAAACCAAGAGGATACCTACCATTTGAAGGGGTGCCTTAGTGGAAACCCACCATTTTAGGGACCTGTCCCTAGTATGAGAAACACCCATACGAGACTGTGATGCGCTGTCAGGGCGGTCTCTTCGGGCAGCTGGGCCTGGAGTCAGGCGCTTTCGGGCGCGTGGGTTTCTTGCCGTGCCTGGCACCGGCGCTGGCGGCGGCGGTGCGGAGAGAGGACTGGCCGCCGGAGAGCGCCTCGACTCGGATCGAGGCCAGGGTGACAGTTCTTTCCTTGCGGATCAACATCTTATTGTAGAATTCTGGGGGCCTATGAGTGGGACATCCTTATGTTCTGCACTGCTCTCGTGGTTGTGGAAATTGGGTTTTGGGGCTGTAATGACTGTGGATAAATCCCCATGCGCATGATGTCAACCCAGGGCAATCAAAATCATTCTGTCTTCTACTCGTGGATTTTAATGAGCGGTAGAGTTGTCATAGATGTGAAATTTGGCCCCGCAAAGACCCGTTTGAGGGCCACGGAGCTGATTTGTTTGCATCTCACCTCATTGCCGCAACATCAGGCGCCCGAGCCAGGGCATGCTTTTGTGCAAAAGACGCGCGCTTCCCAATCCCCAGCCGCACGGGGCACATGGAGGTGCCGCAGTGATGACTAAGCCATGCTCGGGGATCCCCTTGCTGCCGTCCATCGCGACCAAACAAGAAAGGACTTGCGCCCGTGCAATGTGCGCCTGTCTCACGTTGCGGTCATACATGGCACCGGGCCTTTCACACCGCCTACATCGGTTCACGATAGATTCGCCCTGTTGGCGCACAAAGTCTCCTCCTCTATCCCCTGGGGCAGTGGACCTTGCTGGTGCCTCGGACCTCCGCGCTCATCGCAGTGCCAAATCGCCACGGAGGCAGCTGCTTTGCATCAGGTGCCGCAGCACCTACTTGCCGGACCAGGCGCCCACGCGGCACATTTTCGAGGATCTGCACGCGGCGCCTCACCTTGCTGCAGTTTTTGGGCAAGAGCTCATCTCGTGCTGTTGAAGCCAAGTCGGCCAGTGGAAGGGTGATGACGACGCCCGCCGGTTCTCCGCCAAGAGGTCAATTTCGCCGACGACGCGGGCGAGGGCAGGAGTACACCAAGCATGAAAAAGATACTGCGTGTCAGAGAACCTGCCTCGGAACCGTTGGTTAGCCTCCCACACCAAGATCTTCGAGACGACAGAGATGTTTCAGTCGTCTGGTCGTTTCTGACAAGACAGATTGTTGTTGGGAGCTTGTGTTTTGGAGGCCGGGCTCCCTCTGTTGGCGTCCAACACCCTCCTCTGCGCTTGGTGCGGTTTTGGGCCCCCCCAGAATTTCAGGCACATCAGCGTGTGAGTGAAGGTTTGCTGCGTGCCGCGCCATGTGCCGCTTGCGACAGATGCGTCGGCTGGCACGCCCACACAGATCCAGATGGATTGCGCGTCTGCCTTTGAAGTGCCACCTGCTGAATCACGTCTGGCGGACACAAGGACGAGATGAGCAAGCAGTAGTTCAGGCAAGCTTTGCTTGAACTCTTGCAGCTAGCTTGGTGGAAGGCCGCCCTACGCGGCTGCCTTCATCCGCAGCAGGAGGCTCACGATGACCGACCAGTTGGAGTGCCAGAAGGCGCGCTCGTCAGCGTGACTTGCAACATCAGCGCCTGCGGCTTGCTGGCCTACTTGCACCTTGGGACAGCATCATCATCAGAGTACTGGTACATTCTGCAGCCATTCTACCTGCGCATTCGAGGCGTCGCTTTTCTGCAGCTTTGTTCTTGACACGCGCAAGAGCGACCGCCTTGCTTCCAGGCCTACATGGCGGACGCTGGAGGACACGAAGCGCCCGCTACTTCAGGCAGGGACGGCAATCTCAAGAGCAGCTACTGAAGCCAGCTCGCGATTGTGTGGTGCGTTTTCCCCGAATGAATGCCTGCAGCTTACAATGCCCTCATCAACTCGCAGGCTGGAAGTCATGCCGGCCGACGAAGCGCAACAAGCTACCTCGTGGCCACCCCGAGAGTGGAGTGGGCTCATGCGCCGAGCGCGTTTGATGGTTTTCGCAAAGAACGAACCGGGCGTATGGATTTGAATTTTGGCCTCGCACATGCATTAGGCCCACAGTGCGCTTCAGGCCGTTGACTTGTTTGCATCTCAAGGCGCACTTCTGTTCAAGAGTTGCCAAGCTTGGATAGAGCATGAAGGGCGTCTTCCTAGAACGCGTGTTTCTCCAAAAGCCCATGTATGGCATTCCCAAGTGCCCGCATCCAAAAAACAGACCCCGAGGCGACGTCCATTGGCCGGCCTGGAAGTTGACCCAGGCGAGGGGAACCAGCTGCTTGCAGGGGTCCCTTGGCTTTTGTGTCGGCGCCCACGTGTTGGAAAAATGCAAGTGTTGGCCAGCCATGTTTGCCATATGTTCGGGACGTACCGGGCAGACTTACCGCCATGTTCTTGCCGTGCTGGAGGGCACCAACATATTTCCCAAAGGAGTTGCGCAAAAATGTGTCCCACTGCAATGTGGGCTTACCTTCTCTATCGCGCGAAGGGGCATTGTCACAGAAGGTCGCATCAGAGAGCGCTCATCTTCAAGGAGTCGCTGCACTAAAAGGGGACGCAGCTGAGAATTGTCCCGGTTGGCATGGCTCAGAGCCATCACAGGAAGAGTATAGCGAACCATGCCTCCTGTTGCGGAAAGCGCCCTTTACTAACGTGAAATTCTCCACTAGATGAAGTGCATATACACAATTCTCTCTTGGGAGCAAGACGCTTGTAAGTTTGGCAATATTAGGGGCCCTGTGCGTCCTTTGTCACGGAAGGCTTCTTTGGCGCACCATCCAAGAAAAGGCAATGTTTTGACAACTCTTGGAAAACACCCACTTTCCTGAAAGAAAAGCGTGGAGTATATTCCCGTTGTATAGTTCCTTTTTCGTGATTGCGTATCCTGTTAAACCCCCGGGGTTGGTTTGTGGGTTGAAGCTAGCTGAGATAATTCCCCCCTCTCTCAGGAGAAAACAGCAACATCGGACGTGCGACAACTTGTTACACTTCTCGCCTTGCGCGTGTCATCCTTGCGCAGGGACCATGCTAATCTGTATCTTTCTAATTCTATCTGATGATCGACAAAACGAATCCAAAATGGGAGCGCGGTGCGTGCGGAGTGCAGGTCATTGAGCGCTTGAGCCGCCACGGCTTTGCCCATGAGCTCCGGATGTGCATCACGCCCCTTACGGTTCTTGCCTCGGTGCTTCGTCAGGGTTCCCATTGTTTCCCGGTTTGGGAAACACATCACCGTTTGGGAGTCAGATTGACGTGAGTTCTTTTTGGCAGGCGGCTCTCTCGGAGCCGTGTAACTGTCAATGAATGCGGCGCTTCTCTGTTGCGACCACCTGTGCTTGGGGTGGGGGGTGGGGGGTGGGGGGCGGGGGGGCCAATGAATGCGGCGCTTCTCTGTTGCGGGTGGGGGGTGGGGGCGGGGGCCAATGAATGCGGCGCTTCTCTGTTGCGACCACCTGTGCTTGGGGTGGGGGGTGGGGGGTGGGGGGTGGGGGGCCAATGAATGCGGCGCTTCTCTGTTGCGACCACCTGTGCTTGGAGTGGGGGGTGGGGGGTGGGGGGGGGCGAATGAATGCGGCGCTTCTCTGTTGCGACCACCTGTGCTTGGGGTAGGCTCCGTCGTGGGATGCTGGAAAAAACATACGTAGTAAATATGCCCAAAATCCCGCTTGTTGCAACACATAAACATAATGCGAAAATGAACGCTTGGATTACACGAGAAGAAGCTGAAATGACCTAGGCTGGAGGCTCCGTCGGCTATGGTGCACATGACAGCAGAAATGGAAGCGCCGCATTCATTGGCCCCCCCCCACCCCCCACCCCCCACCCCAAGCACAGGTGGTCGCAACAGAGAAGCGCCGCATTCATTGGCCCCCCCCCACCCCTTCTCGTGCATTAGGTCAAAAAACGAACTTTTCGCGGACCCTCTTTGCACAGCCCATGTCGCAAGAAGTTTGAGTCAAATGAGGCAAACACACCGCAAATACCAGTGAATTTGCCTTCTCGCACTTCAAAACACGCAAAATGCTGTCGGTGACAGTTACACGGCTCCCAGAGAGCCGCTTGCCTTCTTTTTGGGGTGATGTCGAACGGGGAATGTAGGAAACCCTGTCTCTCCAAGGGCCAAGGGCTGGTCAGCTGCGTCTCACATGTACCTCACATCCTTCGGTCGTACAGAACGAGCATTGGATTAGATGGTTCAAAACCAGTTTTGGCGCGTGTGTTGTTTCAACAGTTGACTGCAACATGTCACTGGGCCCCGTTTTTCGCCTCGCCGCCCGTGCGCCTCGCCGCCTAAGGGACTGGTGGTGAACCCAGGCGATGGGGGGCTTCCTGGCGCAATTTATGTGGTTTGGATCTTTAGCAGGGGTGGAAGTAGAAACTGCAAGCTTTTGAGTTTCCGGGTTAACCTAGGCATATTGCCCAAAGCAATCAGCAGAGAAGCTCATGGGGTGACTGCCTGTGTTTTTTTGAGGGCCACTAAGGGCCATTAAGCAACATCCAGGGCATTGACCTGAAGGGGGACAATGGTTGGATGGGAAGGCGGCGAGAGAGGAGAGAGGGCCATCCTTTCGGTTTCTTCCCCTCCCAATTTTGGACTGGACCTTCCACCTCCTTGTTTCTCGTCGGAAAAGGCCAAACGCTTGCTTGGACTGAAATCAGATGGCCCTGAGCGACAGATCAACACCTTTAGGGCTTATCTTGCCAATTGCGCCATGTCAAAGCGGTTTTGTTGGAGGCCGTTGTAAAACTTCCATGGCGGGTGTGCCGGGTGTTGTACCCAGATGGGGGGTCCTGATATTGAACGGGCGGGGTGTGGGGGGTGGGGGTGGGGGTTGCACTTCGGAATTGTTGTTGTTTTGTTTTGGGTGACTTCCCTTTTAGGCCCATGTCGAAAGGTAATCTGACATGTTGCCCTGCAGAAGGACGTCGAGAGTCACACTCCAGACTCCTGGCACTCCTATTGCATTTGTTTGGTGATAATTTGGGCTACCATCCCAGTCTTGTGAACCCATGATTAAGGAAGGAATACTTTTGTTTTGGCGTCGCATACCAGGGTTGACGTCAAGGTTTGTAGAGACCACCTGGTCAACAACGACCATTAAACTATCCATTGGAAGATCCTTCTTTTTTTGGGGTAGGCAAGCAGGGATAGAGATTCTGAACCGGGCAACCTCCAAATTTGGAAGGGTTCCCGCCCAGTCGGAGCGTCCGAGGTCCCGTGGCGCGCGCCTGGCGGCGGAGGCCATGCGCAACATCTCCTGCGCCGCGGCACTTGACGCGGCACCTTGCACCAACGTTTGGTTTGTGGGGGACTCCAAGCAATGAATGGTTTCGTATGTTTCGTTGCCAACTCAATAGTGGTATCCATCCCTTGTGTTGCATTTTGCTTGGCAGTAGGGTGGAAGCAACACAAAAAAGCCAGTCAGGGAGCCAGGAATCCGAGTTGGCCAGGGCTTTGCGCTGTATGTTTGGTTTACTTGCGACGGGAAGGACCAGCTGCGATTGGACGCCCAGTGTGCAGCAGAGCCGGAGGCGCTGCGGGCCGCCCTGGAAGCTTTGGTGCACGCAGGGGGCCTCAGACAGGTGGTGTTAGGGACGGCCTCAGTGTGTTTGGTTTTTCTCTGGATTCGTGTTTGTGTAGATGTGTGTTTGTTCTGTTGTGTGTGTGTGTTTTTTTTTTGGGGGGGTTATGTGAACCAGATGGAAGATGCATTTGTTCAGGTTACTTGCTTCCAGGCCAGGTCCCAAGGTCATGTGAATTGCCAAACAGAGCTTCTTTTGTGTGCGTTTCGCCGATGCTGCCACTTGAGCTCCGAAAGAAACTGCGGGGACCCGGCCGCGAAAAGCAGTTCAGGTGTTTCCATGGTTGGGGAAATAGAAGGACAGGTCGAGGGGTTCTGAAGAAAAAAATCGCCGCGGGTCGGGAAGTTGCAGAGAGCGCAGGAAACGCCGGCGGCGCATGACCTCCTGGAGGTGTACATGGAGGGCCGGGACCCTTTGCCCCTCTGGCCCGAGGGCCCCTGAGCTTGTCCCATGCGCCCGCGCACGGAGCCTCCTGAAAGGAAGCAAGGTCGGGAGTCGCTGCACAAGGTGGAAGGGCCAGTGGCTGGTGTATGGAAGTCAAATGGCTCATTGACTCGCTTTCGCTTCTGGACCTTGAACACTGGCAGCTTCATTGGATGATGCTGGGTTGGGGTGGGGTTTTGGTGTGCAGGTCGGGCAGGATGATGATGCTGGGGTGGCATGGGCAGAAAGCCTTCAAATGCTGCTGGTGATGCCAGGCTGGCAGATGGGTGCCTGCAGATGATGCTGATGATGCCGGCCTGGCATGGTCAAGTTGGGTCGTGGTTTGGCAGAGGCCTCGCGGATAATGCTGCCGGGGCGGTATGGTGAACTCGAGCAGTTGTATTGCCAGACTGCCTGTGGACGATGCTGATGATTCAGGGGTTGGTATGGTGAACTCGGGCTGTTGCATTACAAGTTGTATTGCCAGAAAGCCTGTGGATGATGCTGATGATGTCGGCTGTTGCTTGCCAGGCTGCTTGTGGATAATGCCGATGATGCAGGGCTGGTAGAAAGATGCTAATGCTGATGATGCCGCGGTGGCATTGTCAAAGCTGGGCTGCGCTTTAGAGCAGGGATGGTTTCAGGCTGTTGCTGGCCAGAAAGACTGCACATGATGCTGATGATGCCAGGGTTGATGATGCCACGGTTGTATGGTGAACAACATAATGCTGATGATGCTGGGGTTGTATGGTGAACGGCCGTTGCCGGAAAGCCTGCATGATGTTGATGATGCTGGGGAGGTAGTGTCAAGTTGGCCTGCTGTTTTGCCCGCAGGGAATGCTGATGCTGCTGGGGTTGTAGGATGACTCAGGCTTGCTTGCCAGCCTGCATGATGCTGATGATGCCGGGGTGGCAGTGTCAAGTTGGGCTGTTGTTTTGCCCGCAGGGCTTGTGGATAATGCTGATGCTGCTGAGGTTGTAGGATGACTTGGGCTGTTGCTTGCGAGAAAGCCTGCTTGCTGCTGATGATGCTCAAGTTGGCCTGTTGCATTGCCCGAAGGGCTTGTGGATAATGCTGATGCTGCTGGGGTGTAGGATGACTCGGGCTTGCTTGCCAGCCTGCATGATGCTGATGATGCTGGGTGACCGTGTCAAGTTGGCCTGTTGTTTTGCCCGCAGGGCTTGTGGATACTGTTGATGATGCGGGGTTGTAGGGTGAACTCGGGCTGTTTCTTGCCAGGAATCCTGCATGATGCTGATGATGCTGGGGTGGCAGCGTTACGTTGGCCAGTTGTTTGGACCGCAGGGCTTGCGGAAAATGCTGATGATGCTGGGGCTGTATGGTGAACTCAGGCTTGCTTGCCTGCCAGAAAGCCTGCATCATACTAATAATGCTGTGGTTGTGGCAGTGTCACGTTGGCCTGTTGTTTTGCTCCCAGGGCTTGTGGATAATGCTGATGCTGCTGGCGTTGTATGGTGAACTCGGGCTGTTTCTTGCTCGCCAACCTGCATGATGCTGATGATGCTGGGGTGGCAGTGTCAAGTTGGCCTGTTGTTTTGCTCGAAGGGCTTGTGGATAATGCTGACGATGCTGAGGTTGTAGGATGACTTGGGCTGTTGCTTGCGAGAAAGCCTGCATGATGCTGATGATGCTGAGGTGGCAGTGTTTTGCCCACAGGGGTTATATGGTGAACTCGGGCTTGCTTGCCAGCCTGCATGATGCTGATGATGCTGGGGTGGCAGTGTCAAGTTGGCCTGTTGTTTTGCCCGCACGACTTGTGCATAATGCTGATGCTGCTGGGGTTGTAGGGTGACTCCGGCTGTTGCTTGCGAGAATGATGATGCTGATGATGCTGGGGTGACCGTGTCAAGTTGGCTGTTGTTTTGCCGCAGGGCTTGTGGATAATGCTGATGGTGCTGGGGTTGTATGGTGAACTCGGGCTGTTATTTGCAAGAAAGCCTCGCAATGCTGATGATGCTGAGGTGGCATGGTTGAAGGGGTGTTGTGTTGCTTGGCTTATGAACAGGTAACAATGATTGTTCTTGGATGATTGACCGCCAAAAGGATGTCTTCTTTTTCCAGGGTCACCGTACACGTTTTGGCAGATGAAGTCAGGTCATCTTTTACATGCACTTCATCCAATAACCGTGGGCGTGGCACGTCTGGATGGCACGTGTGCATAGATTCTGCTCTTTTCCGCCGAGGGATTTGGGCGGCTGAGTGTCCTTTGTTACTAAGGCCAACTGTTTTTCTTTTTCTCTATTTTCGGGGTCTCGTCTCATGCGGGGAGAAATACGTTGATGGCTGTCTAACCGGCCAGCATGGCAGGGCTGTTCCATGTTCCTGAAGGTTGGGGGGATTTGATCCTTTGGCCAAAGTTTTGTTGCGGAACGTGGGTGCGGAAACCCTGATGTAACAGGGTGCCTTCCTTTACGGAATTTGTCATTGCAAAGGCCGGGAATTCCAGTGGTGTCGAAGAAGTTGCCCCAGAAATGGGGAAATCACTGTCCGCCGTCTTTTCCGAAATGGAAGCTGACAGGATGATTTTGGAAGTGTCCTCTTGGGACTGCCCATGGGTTCATACGGGTGTGGCTTAAAGGAAGGCCTTTGTAGTTTAGTTTTCCTGTCTGTGAGACCGTCACCACAAGGCGCCCCTCGATCCCTCGGCATCCTCCGCGTGCCCAGCCCAACAGGGGCCGGGCGCTTTTCGAAGCGAGATTCGAGCAATTGGAACATCGCGCGCCGGAGAAAGACGAGGCGGGGAGATACGGATTCTTCTCAAGGATTTCTTTCAATGGGGTCACTCATGGGTCACCATTGTCTAGAATTGATGGGTTCTTAATACTCAAAAGCCATTCAACCCAGTGGCGGGCAGGTAGGTGCCCCGATTTGGATTTCTCCTGCATAAAATTTCAGACTTTGTCAAATTTTGTAGGGACTGAGGGGCCACGAGCCGCCAGCTGGCAAATTGTTCAGTGAACCATTGTTCCTGCTTTTAATGAAAAATGGTCAACTTTCCAAAAGATGATGCTTTTTGTTCTACCAGGATCACTGGGTACGGATCAGGTCTAAGCTGGCACCAACAGCCAGACCTGGTAGGGTGCTGTTCATAACAATTTGTTGACACTCCGCAGCCTGTGAGGAAGCACGGCATTTTGGCGCTTGTTTTTGGAGGGTACTCTCCTTGGGTTGGCTTAAAGAAAACCAAGGAAACTTCGAGTGTGTGTGTGTGCAGAAGTTCCTGTCTGAGGAGCTTATTGCTGCGAAGACAGTCGCAGGAACTGATCATTGGCGCAGCCCATGTAGGCCCAAGTTCGAGACAAGCTTATGGCAAGCCCTGCTACGTGATAAATGAGTTTACCCGATGATGGTTGCCTGCATGATCTTACATTCTGCAATTCCTAGTTCCTGTTGCCAAATTGCGCTAGTTTGTGCAGACGAGTTGTTCTTTTCAGTGGAGGGATATTTTGTAGCCTCATAGTCGCCATTGCATACCACTGGAGATTGCGAAGAAATTAATCCGCTAAGCTGTTGGTTTTTTTCTTTGGCAATCTGGTGGAGCAAACTGCCTATGACTCATAACTATACTGTCCAGGCACCAAGCCTGAGGTTCGAACCTGCTGAGAAATCTCATAGGCGAGTTCTACAAAGGCGGTTACAACATATCCGGGCCAAATGAAATAGCAACCTCGTGGGGCTTTGTGACGTTGCAATTTCCTTTCTTGGAATCAATTTACTTAGGCAGTCTTCCGAGAAATCATGCACACGTAATTCCCGTTGGTGTTCCCTAGTGCACATTGACAGGGTTCGTTCATTGTAGGTTGTTGGATTATGCAAGTTTATTTCCGTCCAAAGTGTTCAGCATCAGCCTTGATATTTTTCGGTTATCCTTGCTTCAGCAAGCAGGATATTGGGCCAATCATCCAGGCCCCTGCCTACCAGAATTGTTCTCCGAACCCTTCAATCCGAACCTCTTGGGGCGTTCGATCGTTTCCATAGAAAATGGGTGTGTTTTTTTCAAAAAGGTACATATCCATTTCGTGCGGGAGGTGGGGGGGTGTTTAGACACAAGCCCAAATCACCCGCCTTTCTGCGCCAGCCGCCCATGGCATGTCTGCCATGGCACCCGCCGAATGGCGCCCCACCCAGCGCTGCTGTTTGCGCCGCAAAGCTCGGTGAGCGGCAAAGATTGGCTGGGCCGAGGTGGCAGGCAATGCGGGGAATGGTTGGGGCGAACGGTGAATGGCCTAAATGTTGCAATTAAGCCAGCCGCGCTCAGCTACAAAACCACGTCAATTTACTGTAGATGAAGCCAGGGCGTGGACCCATCGTAGTTGCCCTTTCCATGATCCCCCCAACTCCAGGTCTTTGCAGCACCAAACGGCCTTTGCCACATCTTTTTTTCCAGAAGGAGCGGGGCTCATCCGATTTTAGTAGGGCCGTGCCCAATGCCCAGGGCCTGTGCGTCGTGGCGCTCACCGCCAAAGTGGCGCGCGCTTGCCAAAGTAAGCGCAAGACGCTGGCAGTGGTCGGCCTGGGCAACGTCGGCCAGAGCGCCCCGACGGCGCTTGGGGGGGCGTTTCGTCGGCAAAGCTTCCGACAAGCATGGCTTGCTGCCAGAGGGGGGGGGTGCGCTTGCATGTATGTTTGGGTCGGAGAGTGGCCTGTTGCCACACGGTTTTTCGGTGGCGAAAGGACGTACAAGGCGTCAGGGTTGTCTACATCGATTCCTTAGTGGGACCCCTACAAACGGCTGGCATTTGTTATGTTGGTGGAGATGTTCAAAACTGCAGTGGCCAGCAACCTCAGTTTGTTAGAGGTTCTGTCACGCAGTTCATTTGCAGTGGCTCGCCTCTTCTCTCAGTTCCGGGTTCCAAGTAGCGCTGGTCAGCCCAAACAGCTTCCCTTTGCTGCCAATAGCCTCAGCAACAATGTTTTTGTCAAAGGGGTTTGGATGATGCTGAGGGTTGCATGACCAACTTGGCCGTTGTTTATTTGGGCCGATGACGGAACCAACTGGGCTGTGGCATGATCAGCCGACCCATTGTTTTGGGCTGAGGGCTTGCAGGCGATGCTGCTGATTTTGGTGTGGGAAAAGAAACTTCAACTGGCTAGGGCTGATAGCGCGTGGCATGGTCAAGTTGGACCGTTGTTTGGCAGAGGGCTTGCGGGGACGATGTTGATGACGCCGGTGGGCCGGGGCGCGACATGGCCAAGTTGGGCCGTTGTTTGGCAGACGGCTTTGGGATGACGCTGATGACATGCTTATGTTGGGATGTTGTCTATGCTGATGAGGGCTGTGGATGATGCTAATAATGCCGGGGTGACATGTCCAAGTTGGGCCTTTGTTTGAGTTTGGATGGGGCTGTGGATGATGCTGATGATGCGGGTTGACATTACCACGTTGGGCCGTTTTTTTATGCTGATGAGCGCTGTGGCTGACATAGTCAAGTTGGGCCGTTGTTTTTGCTGATGATGCTGGTGAGATGGCCACGAGGGGATGTGGATGATGCTGCTGATGCCGAGTAACATGGCCAAGTTGGGCCATTCTTTGGAAAAGGGGCTGTGGGCGATGCTGATGATGCTGGGTGACATGGTCAAGTTGGGCTGTTGTTTATGCTGATGATGCCGCGGCCACCCAGTTTGGCCATTGTTTGGATCAAGTTGGGCCTTTGTTTGGATGGGGCTGACATTACCAAGTTGGGCCGTTGTTTATGCTGATGCGCGCTGTGGCTGACATGGTCAAGTTGGGCCGTTGTTTTTGCTGATGATGCTGGTGAGATGGCCACGAGGGGCTGTGGATGATGCTGCTGACGCCGAATAACATGGCCAAGTTGGGCCATTCTTTGAAAATAGGGCCTGTGGGCGATGCTGTTGTTTATGCTGATGATGCCGGGGCAACCCAGTTTGACCATTTTTTGGATGAGGCCTGTGGATGATGCTGTTTGGATGGGGCTGTGGATGATGCTGATGATGCGGGGTGACATTACCAAGTTGGGCCGTAGCTTTATGCTGATGCGCGCTGTGGCTGACATGGTCAAGTTGGGCGTTGTTTTTGCTGATGATGCTGGTGAGATGGCCACGAGGGGCTGGATGATGCTGCTGATGCCGAGAAACATGGCCAAGTTGGGCCATTTCCAAAGGCTGATGATGCTGGGTGACATGGTCAAGTTGGGCTGTTGTTTATGCTGATGATGCCGGGGCAACCCAGTTTGACCATTGTTTGGATGAGGGCTGTGGATGATGCTGATGATGCCAGGGTGTCAGGACCAAGTGAGACGTGGCAGCAGGCTTGCGGGTGATGCTTATGATGCTCAAGCTGCAAGTGCTGCCTTTTTTAGAGCGCCGGTGGTCTGTGGCGGCCCCCCCGGCGAATTACTGCCAACCAACCCCCCGGGCGCATGCCTTCCAACACTTTAACCAACCAGCCTTCATAAGGGCTTGCCGTTCTGCGGGGTGAAACTTGCGTAATCGAGGCATGGTACGAAGATGGTCTACCGAAACCAAGTTATTGACACGTCCCCTCAAAAGCAAGAAGCCCGGGGGAAGTCTTTGAGGTTACGTAGACACCCGGCACAACATCGGCTTCGCCGCCCTGGACACCTTGGCGAACCACTTGCTGCTGGACCAAGCGCGATGGGGCTGGCGCTGTTCTTTTTTGGGCTGAATCCCAACTTTTGGGGTGTTCTTTTACATCAAGGGGAACTTTACTTTTCCAAAACCCTCAACAAATCTCATTGGGCATTGGTTGGAGGGGTGTTTCGATCCAAGAGTGAAGGAGTTCTTCTTCTTTACTTGCAAACATTACAGGGCCACCCAGTGGTTTATGGGTCTTTGGTTACCATGCATTCCCCAAAAGCAAATGCAAAGGGTCTATATAAGCTGATCGCTTTCCATCTTCCTTTTTTGTGCTGTCCACATGAAGAGATGGTACCACGGTCCATTTCTCTCGCCATCATAGGACAATGACAGTCATGTGGCCTCTTAAAAGGTAGTCCAAAGACAAGCAAAAGGATCATCAAAGCTTTTGTCATATCGGGAAAGGGGGATGGCAATGGCCATTTTTTTTTTTATTTTTTATTTTTTTTTTTATCAGACCCCCATCCTCGCAAAACATGGAAGTGCACGTCCGACCTCGTTTGGGAGGCACTTTCTTCGAAGGGGGGTCCTGTACAAAAGCATGTTTGTTGCTGTATGTTTTTGTTTGTTGCCCCTACCCTCCCACCGCGAAACCTAACTGGGAGGTTTTGGAAGGACATCTAGGCCATGCCCCGTCACAGGCGCACTGGCGCCTGGCAGAGGGTGTTTGGCGTCCCGCCTTTGGCGGGGAGTTGCTGCGCCTGCGGCGGAAGGAGGGCCTTTCGCCGCCGTCGAGCACGGAGATCGAAAACTGCTCTGGCTGCCTGAAGCCGGACAGCTGCCCGTGCCCCAAAGCGATTCGACGTTCCAAGAAGGCGAGGCAGAGGGAGGAGAACGCTTTTTCCGGGGACGTGGGCAAAGCTGCGTCCAGTGGTCGACGTGCTCTTCTCGCGTCTGTCCCACCGTGCCAGGAGTTGGCGCCCCGGATGATCACACGGATGATTCGGGGGGTAAAAGGAGCTCATGATGTAATTAGGTTGCAGTTGTTGGGCGAAATAGCTATTGAAAAGCACGATGACTGGGACCTCTTTTTGACATTTTCCCACCCATTTAGTTTGAGACGCAAAACCACCTTGGCATTTTAATGCATTTTAGCTGCAAACCCAGCGTGCCTTCCCTCTCCTTCCACAGACCCTCGCCAAGGCGCTGTTCAAGCCGGGGGCAATGATGAACCGCTCCGGGCCCCCGGTGGCGGAACTGTTGGATGGCCTGCAGGTGGAGGAGGGGGTTCGAAAGAGCGTCCTGGTAAGCGGCCTTGCACGGGTCAGGTAAGCGTTGGTTGCCTGGGCACATGTTCTTCTTTGATCTTGTGTGTATTTACTTTACTGTTTGTGTTTGCTCGTTTGTGTGTGTGTGTGTTGTACGTTGATTCATTCATTCATTCGTTCGTTCGTTCGTTCGTTCGTTCGTTGGTTCTTTTGTTTGTTCGTTTGTTTATTCAGTCGTTCGTCCGTTCCTTTGTTCTTTCGTTCGTTTGTTCATTCATTCATTCATTCATTCGTTCGTTCGTTCGTTCGTTCGTACGTTCGTTCGTTCGTTCGTTCGTTTGTTCTTTTGTTTGTTCGTTTGTTTATTCAGTCGTTCGTCCGTTCCTTTGTTCTTTCGTTCGTTTGTTCATTCATTCATTCATTCCTTCCTTCATTCATTCATTCATTCATTCATTCATTCATTCATTCATTCATTCATTCATTCATTCATTCATTCATTCATTCATTCATTCATGCATTCATTCATTCATTCATTCATTCATTCATTCATTCATTTTATTGTTTCATTTCATTCATTTTATTGTTT